ATGGGTTGATTTTCTGTCAGGGTACATGCCTAGATTGTGGGTTTGGTCCTCAGTCAGGGCATGTATGAAAGGCAACCAATTGATGTTTCTATCTCACATTGATGTTTCTCTTCCTCTTTCTCCCTTCCTTCCTCTCTCTCTAAAATCAATAAGCATGTCTTTGGGGGAGGATAAAAAAATTTTTTTTAAAAAAGGTGCTTGTAAGAGGAAAGCAAGAGGATCAAAGTTACAAACATAGATAGATGTAAGGATGGAAGCAGAGGTTGGAATGATATGATATGTTGAGAGAAGGAGCCACAAGCCAAGGAATGCAGGTGGTCTCTAGAAGCTAGAAAGGCAAGAAAACAGATGCTCCCCTTGAAACCGCCAGAAGGAACATGGCCCTAGCAACATATGATTTTAGGACTTCTGACCTCTGAATGTAAGATAATACACTTGTGTTATTTTAAATCACAAAGTTTGTGGTGATTTGTTATAGCAGCAGTAAAAAATTAATATGCCGGTATGTCCAGAGCCTCATGAGGAGTTTGGATTTATTTAGAGGACAATGGGAAACTATTGGAGGATTTTTGGTGAGACAGTGAACTGATCTGATTTGTTTTAAGCCGTCGATGTGGCTGCTACCTGAAGAAGGGACTGGAGTGAGAATACAAGAGCGATCAGGGAGACTGGGTGCGAAGCTGTGCATTCAGACAAGTGAGAAGTGACCGGCTCAGTGTGAGGCTGAAGTGTGGAGACAAAGAGAAATATATGTCAGAGGCTAATCTGACAAGATTTACTGATGGAGTAGATGTGACTGTGGAACAAGAGGACTGGAAAGGAAAGGAGAGAATAAAGGGTGGCATTTGGAGTTTTTCAGCATCAGGGCAAAGAGCTGAGAGGCAGTATAAAATGGCTAAAAGCCTAAACTCCAGCCCAGACTGCTGGGTTTCAAATCCCAGGATTACTAGTTAGTAGTCATTTCACCTCGGGCATGTTACTTATCTCTCTAGTCTCAGTTTTCTCAAGTTTAAAAAGGGAATAGAGGCTGCTTTGAGGGTTGCATTAGATATATAAGGTGTTATCTTTTAGTATCATTACTGTGTTGGTGCCATATATTGAAGTGAGAAAATCTGTAAGAGAAATAGATATGGGAGTGAAGGAAATGAAAAACAATGCTTTTGATCTGTTAAATTTGAGATGCCTTTGGACAGCAAAGTAGAAATATCAAGGAGGCAGTTTGAGAATGGCTATTTCATATAAAGGAGTGGAATGGTATTGACCCTTGCCTTTCAAATTAGGGGAAAATATCCAATTATTTCATCTGATTTCCTTTGCTTTGATTGGCAGGAACACCAGGCGCCTTTCTGAAGGCTTATTCAAAGCTGTTGAAGAGAAAGGATTAACGCTGTTTGCTGGGAGTAAAAGAAGGAATGCAGTGTTTAAAGAGACATAGGCATTCTTTCTATTCCTTCCAATTTCTTCCATCCTAATGAAGGTGAAGATAACAATTGAGTAGTGAAGGGTGAACCATAGAAAGAGTGGCTTAGCTGGAGTGGGGGTGGGAGGTGACCGTGGTAAGGGGAGTTCTTGGGATGATAGGCTCTCTGGGGAGCAAGTTTTTTTTTTTAAAAAAAAAAAAAAAAAGCAGCCAAGGGTAATTGTGCACATAGTTAATAAAGTAACCACTACAGGAGTTCTACTGCCCCTGTCTCTAGATTTGGAGAAGTGTGTACAAGAGCCTGAACACAAAGTGAAAGTAGTGGTAGGACTGCTGAATCTCACAGCATTTTTTAAAGGAACATTTGTGTTTGATTTCAAAGCAAAGGTATAAAACTTGGAAAATACAGGAATATATTTAAAAGGACATTGCAGTTATTATATACCCTTATAGTTCATTTTTCTAAATAATGTAATTTAAAAAAAATTTGAATTAGTGATCTATGATCCTGTGATGTCTTTATTTAATGATCTATGATCTTTACTTAGTGATCTCTTCCCAGGCATTATATGATAAGTTATTGATTATTATTTAATGGCTGTATAGCCTCCCAATCTTTGGATTAAACCATAACTGATTTACTATTCCTTTGTTTTTTTAGAATTTTGAAATTTTTTGTTTTTATAAGTAAAATACTTTACAGCCAGTTGGGGTGAGGGTGGTTAGGGAGTAGAGGAATTGAGCAAAAAGGTAAAAGGACTCATGGACATGGACAACAGTGAGCTGATTCCTGGGGGGGGGGGGGGGGAGGGGAGGGGGGTGCGGGGGGGAACTAAATGGTAATGGAAAAAATATAATAAAGATACAAAATTTAAAAAAAATGAATCCTTTAAAATTGAGGGTGCATTTCCTCTGGAAAACTATGTCAATTGTTGTCTACTGCCAAGAAAACAAGGAAATAAAAGGTAAGCTAAGTTCTAAAAAAAAAAAAATTCATGTAGATAAATCTTTCTACTCACAAGCAATTATTTCCTTAGGACTTTTGCTAGAACTAAACTTGCATATTTTTAAGGTTTTTAATGCATAATGACTCATTGTCTTCCAATAAGATTATACTGATTTTCAAACTCAGCAGTAATTGGAAATACCCATCTCTCTTAGCCAATATTGGGTATTATAACTAAAAAAGAAAAAAGAAGAGCTACTAGTTTAATTGCTAAAAACTTGTATTGCTGCATATTTGGCTCTTTGTAGTCTTTCCTTTGTGACTTGCCTGAGCCAAGCCACTTTAAGTAACATGCCACTTTACAAATGGCATGTTAATTTTTTCCTGATTCCTTCTTTCCTAACATTTTATTTGGAAAACTTTCCAAATACTCTGCTTCTCATCAAAATTTATACCTAGCTACAGCAACCATGAATGATTTTTGATTTATCCAGTCTTTACCGTAGCAGTTGCTAATGACGATTCCCAGCTCCAGCCCTCCCTCCCCACTCATTAGTCAGCCCTCAGCAGCATTTTAGTGTAAGCGAGAGCCTCCCTTCTCTGCATTTTTAAAAAATGTATTACTGGTATAGACTCATGAATTCCTATTTTTTCAATGGTTTATAATCTATTACTGTACTTAATTATTTTGGTACCAAGATTGTCCTAGGCTTAGTTAGTGAGTCCCTTCAAGCCGGCTCATGTGAGGCTGGAACATGATCATCTTTTATAAGCACTTTCTCCTTTGCTGGCATAACAAGGTGTTTCAGATACGCCTAGCCTGTCCCACCCTTGGAGTGAGCCATTTCTCTGAGTAGTCCTGCTTCCTTTGAATGGGGAATAGTATCGGAGACCAGGATCTGTGCTCTAAGTATGCTCCTGTGCTACTTGATTCTGGTGATGGTTTCATTGGGCTTATACGTTCCAACCTATCAAATTGTATGCGGTTCATTCTATGTCAGTCCAATACCTTAATAAAGCCATTTTATAAAAATGAGATAAAGGAAATAACATATTTTATAAAGGCATTTTTTTTAAATGGAAGACTAAAATGTAGTGTTCAGAGATAAAACTTAGGTAATAAAACTCCAAAGAAAATCAAAATGATTACCATAAAATACAAGAGAATGGATTTTTTAAGGTGAATGGACTTTGCTGTGTTGGGATCATGAACATGAAGCTTCCAGGGTAACTGGCAAAATTTATTTTTTGACCTAGATGGTAGTTACAAGAGTGTTCTCCTGATTAATAATGTATTATATTATGTATTTTAATGTAATTTCCTATAACTTATAATTTTATCATATTTTATTGGAATATTAATCTTTCTTCATGTGTTAACCTTTTGAATATTGTTACAAAACCCAATTATGTAAGATCAAGACAAATGTTTATTTCAGATTTAAAATTTCCATTAGGTTCTTTTCAATGGTTTCTATTTCTCTATTAAGATTTTTAAATCTTTTCATTAATTAGATTCTATGAGCAGAATTATAATTGCTCCTTTAACAATCCTTGTCTGCTAATTTCAATATTTGGTTCATCTCAGAGTCAGTCCTTATTAACTATTTTTTTTCTTGAGAATTTCTTCTTATGCTTTTCTGTTTCTTCCTATGTTGAATAATTCTTATTCTGGACATTGTAAATGTTATGTTACGGAGATTCTGGATTCTGTTACATTTCTCCAAATAATAGTGGGGGTGGTATTGCTTTAAGCAGGCAATTAATTTGTTTGGCCTCAAACTGTAAAATGTCTGTAGCGCAGCAGCTCCCATATCACGAGGCTGGTTGGAATCTGCCCTGTGTACATGTAGTTCTGAGCTCAGCCAGATAATATGGGCAGTGTTTATGTGCAGCGTTTGGGTCTCTCTCCCTCTCCCTCCCTCTCTCTGTCTCTCTCTCTGTCTCTCTCTCTGTCTCTCTCTCTCTCTCTCTGGCTCTCTCCTATTCAGGGTTCACCCTTTACAGCAGCTGTGGTTCCGCCACACACTGTCCTCTAATTCTTCAGGCCATAATGACTGAATTTGAAACCAGTTTTCTATCAGAATTTTAGTTTCCCCTGCATGGGGCAGACTGGGGCCTGCAGTAAGTGTAAAATCATTAAGCAAACAAATAAAAACATGATACTATGCTGTCACCTCATTCCAAGTGTTAACTTCTTTCCAGAATCTGCCTGCTTTTGGTCACTTTCCAATACCTTCACATAGGGAGTTTTCTTTTTTTCAAAAATGTTATCCAAAGTTTAGACTTGAGGTTTAAATGGAGATAGGTCTGATAGGAGCTTACTTAGCCGTTATAAAAGTAGACTAATGTTTATTTCTTTAAAGAAATGATATGAATATGGTAAAACTTTTTTCTAGATAAAGTCATGATAAAGAAAAACACCTATAGTCAGACTTGGCCGATGAGATTTCTTTTGACAAAGAAAACTCCTTTGACTATATATGTGTAACTTTAAGGAAATCTGCATATAAAATCACAAATAAAATATGAAGATAAGAAAAGTAATAAAGGAAATATGTTTTAAAAAAGGAAAACAGTTATACTTTAACTATTTTGAAATAAAATATTTGAACCACTTTTGTATTATTTTAGGAATAAGTCTAATGAAGCTGATGACTGTCAAAGAGAACTTAGAAAACTGAAGTTTGAATCTGTTATTTTTGAATCAAGGTACACATTGTAAATTTTTTAATGAATATTTTTTAGTAACTGAATTTGAAACCACATTTTAAATAACATTTCATTTAAAATGTTTTCTTATTGTGTTGTTTACATCTATATTACCTAATTCAAGTTTATAATATGTGGAAGCTGTGTATTGTTTTTTGCCTCTGCATAGATGGGAAAATTTTAATATCATAGAACTATTCATTTTCCAGTATTCTTAATTTTTATAAGTTAAAGTTATAGTTGATAAGCTCAAATGAGATTTTCATATACCTTTGATAAACATGAAATATACTATCTAATGCATATCGATGGATTTTTTTTTTCCTATTCCTTTTTAGGCACATCAGATTGCTTAAAGAGAAAGAAGACTCCTTAGTGGCTTGTCAACAAATATATAAAACTTTACAGGAAGAACTGACTGCAAAAGAAAGACAAGAAGAAGACATAAAAAGAAGACTTAACCTTGCAGAAAATGAACTAGAGATAACTAAAACTCTTCTGAATCAGACAAAGGAAGAGGTTGTAACACTGAAAAGTGAAAGGTGCAGTCAAGAATAATTTCTTCCAAAAATATTTTATGTTTATGTCAGTATTCCATATATATTTGAAACATCAAGGTCCTACATATTTTAATAACAATGAAACCCCAAGATCAAAGATGTATTTCACCTGAAAGGTCATTATATCCCACCACCTTATTTTACTAGCATCAAACTAAAGCTTAAATTGGTTAAATTTCTTGCTTAAAGTCATGCAGCTAGTTAATGAAAGTAGAGATGGAACCTACATTGCCTCTGGTGTTTGATTTTTATTTAAAAGATTCAAAAGGACCATATGTGGTACTTTATTGAATTTCACCAGGACCAGTAATTGATGGAACCTGTCATTTTCCAATAGAGAAAAATCTTTTTATAACTTCTTTATCCTTTTACTGGTTTCTCTGTTCTTTGCTATTTATCAATGCCTCTTATTGAGGATTTGCCATAAGCACAATGTTGAATTAGTATCAAGGTGTTGATACTAACACCTGGTGTTGAGGTAGTATCAAGGATGTTGAGGTAAGTATCAAGGATACTTAGAAGCACATTCATCCAATCTTCCTAGATATTTTTGCTGTTAATTTGTCATTAAATTAACTACTTCTGAACTTAGCATCTCAATTCTACTTTCTATTTTTCCGTTTTCATTTGCCTGGCATGTCTTTGCTCACTCATTCTTTCTGGGTCCTTTTATTTTAAATGCATATTTGATATAGCACAAATTTTGGGTTTTTGTTTTATTGATTCTTATCAAATCTAGGAGTCTTAAATAGATGTTATCCTATTTACATTTATTGATATGATTATTACATTCTAGAAGAACACAATTTCCTTAAGGGCAAAGATTTTTTAAAAAAACTTTTAAATCATGTTTATTCTATTACAGTTGTCTGTATTTTCCCCCCTTTAGCCACCTCCACCCATCCCACACCCACCCCCTGCTCCGACAGTCAATTCCCACTCTGTTGTCCATGTCCATGGGTCATTCGTACATGTTCTTTGTCTAGTCCCTTCCCCTTCTTTCTACTGTTTTCCTCTTTCCCCATCCTCTCTGGTCACTTTCAGTCTGCTCCATGTTTCCATGCCTTCACCTAGCCTACTTTCGATTCCTTCTACTGTGTTCTTTAATTCAGAAATTGTATTCTTCATTTCCTCTTGTCTCTTATTGATAGTTTCTATGTCCTTTTTCATGCTGATAGAGTTTGCAGTAAGTTCCTCATAGTTTCCCTATGGTTTATTTTGTGGTTTATTTTGTTTGTTTGTTAGTTTATTTTGTTGAATAGATTCCACTTATACGTGAGATCATATGATATTTGTCTTTCACCAACTCTCTAATTTCACTTAGCATAATATTCTCCAATTCCATCCATTTTGTTGCAAAAGGTTGGAGTCCCACCCTTCCTCCCTCCCTCCCTCCCTTCCTCCCTTCCTTCCTTCCTTCTTTCCTTTTCTTTCTTCCTAAATGCAGATTGATTTTATTTATTTTTTTAAATGTCAAAGTTAATTATAAAATATTAAAAAAATTTAAAATCATTATAAAGTCTCAGCAATTAAAACAGCATGACACTAGCACAGAAATAATCAAGTAGATCAATGAAATATAATAAACATTCTAGAAACAAATGTATATATCTGTCTAACAATGTAATACATGGTTAAATTGATATTTCAAATCAATGGAGAAAATAGGCTTATTCAACAAACAAGGTGCATGGACCACTATTACTTGAAATAAAACAAATATAGAATCCTATTTCACACATTATACAAGAAATATTCAGGTGAGTTAAAAATCAATATGCAGAATGTAAGGAGTTTTAGGAGAAAATACAAACTAATATTTTTCTTACCCTGAAGTAAAATATTCAAACCCAGAAGCTATAAAGTAAAATATTGACCATATGACTATATTAAACATTTAAGACTATACAGTAATACATATATTACTAAAAGTCAAAGAACAAGTAATAGAATGGGAAAGTATTTGCCACACATCTAAAAAAGGGTTAATAGTTTTTTGGGTTTTTTTAGGAAAAATATTCTACAAACCTTTAATCAATAAATGGATAAAGAATACCAAAAAGTCATTTAAAGCTTTTTAAAGATAATAGAAATAGGCAAGAAATATACACAAACAGGTTTAGTTTCAACAAATAATACAGGAACAATTAAAATAACACATCATTGTCACAATCAGATTAATACGTATTAAAAATATTGGTAATATCAAGTATTGGCAACTGTGAAAGGAAGTGGGTATTCCTAGACTCTTTTTCGTCATCTTCTTAAAGCAGTCCCTTTAGCATTTCTTGCAGTGCTGGTTTGGTGGAGGTATATTCTTTTAGCCTTCTTTTGTCTGGGAAACTCCTTATTTCACCTTCCATTTTAATTGAGAGCCTTGCTGGGTAGAGCAGTCTTGGTTGCAGGCCTTTACTTTTCATGACTTGGAATATTTCTTGGCACTCCCTTCTGGTTTGTACTATTTCTGCTGAGAAGTCAGCTGCTAGCCGTATTGGGGCTCCCTCATATGTTACTACCTCTTTCTCCCTTGCTGCCTTTAGGATTCTCTGGTTTGTCTTTGATATTTGCCATTTTAATGATGATATGTCTTGGAGTGGGCCTCATTGGGTTCCTCTTGAATGGGACCCTCTGTGCTTCTTGGACTTGTGACTTTTTCTCTCCTCCAATTAGGGAAGTTTTCCATCATTACTTTTTCAAACAGGTTCTCTATCCCTTCCTCATCCTCTTCTCCTTCTGGTATCCCTATTATACGGATATTATTATGTTTCAGGTTGTCCTGCATTTCCCTCAATGCCTCTTCATTCTTTTTTATTCTTTTTTCATTTTCTTGCTCTTTCTAGGAGCTTTATTCTACCTTGTCCTCCAGCTGGCTGATTCGATCCTCGGTTTCATCTAGCCTACTTTTGATTCCTTCTACTGTGTTCTTTAATTCAAAAATTGTATTCTTCATTTCCTCTTGTCTCTTATTGATAATTTCTATGTCCTTTTTCATGCTGATATAGTTTACAGTAAGTTCCTCATAGTTTCCCTGTAGTTTTTTGTAATTCTCTCTGAGCTCACTGAACTCATTGAGATTCTTCATAACCATTGTTTGGAACTCAGTATTTGATAGTTTACTTGCCTCTATTTCATTTCATTCTCTTTCTGGTGATTTGCCTTTTCCCTTCAAGTGGGGGGGGGTATTTCTTTGTCTTCCCATTATTTGTGAGACTCTTTTCCTTCTGCTTCTTCAATTGGTCTGTCTTGATTCCCTGACTTTGTGGTATGAACTTCTGTAGTAGGAGACAGCTGTTTTTACTTTCTGGATCTGCCTCTGATGATATCAGATGTTGCCCCTGTCTGATGTTAGGCAGTCTGTTTGAGACTTCCAGGAATCTGCTTTCTGTGACTGTCTCCTTCAGATGTTAATCTAGTCACTTTGTATTCAGTGGTCAGGCTTAGACACCACAGGGTGGGAAGGAATCCCACCTGGGGGCAGGATTATTGGTTCCTCTATGGTTGTTGCCATTCAGGTGGAGTAGTCTCTGCCTGAGCAAGATGGCTGCTGCTGCATGGGGAATGAGTCAGCACCGAGATCCCACCGGCTACTCTCTCAGTTCTCTCCCCAAAGCCTCCTCCAGTCTTTGCTCTGGTGTCTCCAGCCCACTCTGCCCCCACCTTTGCTGGAAACCAGGGTGAGTGGATGCAAATAAAAATTTATGCGTTGGCCCTTTAAATGGCTCTTTGTGTCTCCAGCCACCTGTCTCTGGCAGAGAGCAACCCTGCTGCTTTTCGCAGCTTGCTGTTTTCTCTGTACTCTTTTGGCTGTGATGGTGTAGGCTGGAGATCCCCGCTTATGGTTGAGACCCCACTCATCTCAGGGGGATCCAACTGGTCGTTTCAGTGTCCTTCTGGTGCTGCTGCCTGTGGGCTGCTTGCCTTCTCGAGTCTCTACTGCACTTTTTACCAGTTAGATTGCACTAAAGATGATTCTTCTTTCTCCAAGGTTATAAGGCTTCTCTCTCACTGTTGTTCAGTTGTTTGTTCCAGATGATCTCTTCACAATTTAGTTGTAATTCCAGATTAGTCCTGGGAGGAGGTCAGTGTGACTTCTACTCATTCCTCTGCCATCTTGATTCTCTCAGATTTTTTTCTTATATAATTCTCTGCCCAGAAAGCACTATTAGATCATTGTTTTTTTCAGTCTTCCTATCATTTTTATCTTTTATTTTTTATTTTATTCATTTCATCTTATGAGTACTTGGCTACTTTCTAATTTAGAAGAGTTATAATCTTTTCTTAATTCTTTATAAGGGCAGCTATTTGCTGAGGAGGAGCCTGGTAGTGGAACCCCAGGAGTGAGTAGCATGCAGCTTAAAATTAGGTTTGTTGTCTCAGAGTTTTCTCACTAACACTTTGCCCTGGGTCATATCTGTCTGTAGCCCAGGCTAGCAGGGCTTCTGGCTAGTTCACAGGGAAACAAGTCTTGTCTCTGGTTCATTCTGGGATGATATACATTAACTTCTGTTTGGTGAAATAGAATGAACAACTGAAGAGCTGATTACCACCCACCATTTCTTTCTTTCCTGCCATACCAATAACCTACTTTTTGCAAAGATGATGTACTGTGTAGTTATATGACTCTTCCTTCCACCTCATGACCTCTGCCATTTTGCAGTTATGTAGTTGCTCAGCACATAGCATATTAGAAGCAGCAATATTATAAGCAAGACATTTGCAAAAGCCAGGTTTACTAATAAAATGAAGGAACGGCAACTGAAAGACTGAGATAAAAACTATAAATGCAAACAAAAAATTTTAAATAAATTGCCATTTGGCCCAATATATAATAAATGTTCCTATACACATCAATAACCTTGAGCATCCGTATATTTATAATATGGGTTAATAATTGATGGCCATAATGATGAAAGATTAGAATCAGAAAGATTAAAATCAGCTATAAAAAGACTTAGAGGCAAAGAATGATAGGAAGGGCAGAA